AAAGCAAGTGCAAAGGGTTAATCTTTGTTCAACCAGGTCCGCTTCAAGAGATATCACACTGCCTGACACGTATTCCTCAGTTCCTCCTGTTTCTATAAAAACATCAGAAGTAAACGTGCCTGCCACAAGTCAAGCAGGTGTGGGAACCGTAAGCACGGATCAGCTGTCTATTGCCATTGAAAAACAATTTTACTGGTTGGAGCACTGTAAACAACATCTTAACGAGGAGCTTACCAAAGGTATTCATCTTTCATGGGCTGCTTATCACGCATTTGTAACAGAACTGCCCAACCCTTTGCCATGCTTGGGTAGCCTGCTGCCATTGTTTTACGAGAAGGCTGCCACAGTAGCCATGATGAAACATGGGATGTTTGTGATTAAGGAGGCAACAGAATTTCTTAACCCGGGCCAAATTCCTGTCACTGTCTGTGACCAGCCTCTTTTTGCCATCGCAAAAGTTGTTCAGTGGAACTGGCCTGCTACACACGGAGAAAATGTTCACGTTGTCATGCTGGGAGGCCTACACATTGAGATGGTTCTGTGGACAATGTGCGGTGACCTTTTAGCTGCATCTGGCTGGACTACAGCACTTACTGAGGCAGGGATAGCATCCAGTGGCACATCAGATTCCTTCCTTAAGGCAGCGCATTTGACAAAAACCAGACGGGCGCACCAGATAACCGTAGCAGCTTTGTATAAATTGCAGCGTGTTGCCTTTCAGGAACTCAACGGTCACCACGATGAAGAGGAGTTCCAGAAGTGGCACGATGGAATGATTAAGACCAGCCCAACGTACAAGTTTTGGGACATGATAATGCAAGTGGAACTCAAAGTACTGGCATTCGTGAAAGCACATCGTGAAAACCACTTCGCTCTGTACGTAGAAGCCTTGGAATCCCTTGCTCCTTGGTCCTTTGCTCTTGATCACACTAATTACGCGAGGTGGCTACCTGTTCACATAAGAGATATGAAGTGCTTACCAGGCCCCGTTCAAGAAAGCCTCAGAAAATGCTGGGTCATTTCTAAGTCATCAAACACTTTTTCAAGCATCCCAATCGACCAGGCACACGAGCAAAATAACGCAAGGGTGAAAGGATCAGGTGGAGCTGTAGGACTAACGGAAAGTCCTGTCGCGTTTAGAAGATGGATGGTAGCCGGACCAGAAACCGCTCGAGTGTTGCAAGAGTTCGAAAGTCAGTGAAAAGGTGAAACAAATGTTGATGAAAAGAACAAACACCACGAACAAGGACTTTCTACACAGAAAACTTTTCAAAGTCATGTCCAGAATCTTTTCAGTACAATTTCAGAAATGGGAAACCCTTTTAAGGATGACTGCCTCTGTCGTGGATACTATGCACAAAGTCCAGGAAATTGAATTACGCCAGTACAAGAAATTCGTAAAAGACGTCATCGATGAAAGGACTGTGTCGATCCACGATACGATTTCAAAGAATACCTTGCCTTTGTTCAAGCGCCAGCTGCCGAAGCAAATCTCTAAAGCGTCCTTAAAGTTGACAGCGGGAACAAGTGACCGTTACCTCTTCAGTCGTTTATATATTGCCAGCTGCGAAAAGAATTAACCAGTTTAGCGAAAAGACGAGAAACAGTTCAACTAACCCAACCTTTTCTGGTATTGAATCCACTTATCAATTTCTTTTAGCTAACCAAAGCCTATCATAGAGCTATGCTGGACTTGGAACTCTAGTTATTCTACTTGGGCTATTAGAGAGCTTAATTTATGTAGTACATAGAAATAAGCGGTGCGTATTTGTTAAAAATTATACTGGTGTTAAGTCCATTTATATATAATTTCTATTGTTTATTAGGATGCCCTGTTGAATCATTCTAACAGGGCTCTTTACCAAGCAAGCATTTGGACGTCCCTTAATGAACAACAAGTTTACCCATCCCCCTCTGATTTTGGATGGAAAATGGAGAACGATAGATGGAGACCCCGCTGGACCACACTTCCAGAAGCCTCTAAGGCGTGCAGTGAATTGCTGAAGTATGGATGCAAGAAAGGTTGCAAAAGTGGTCGTTGCAAATGTTTCAAGGCCAATCTACCATGCACTGAGCTCTGTAGTTGCTCTGGAGGCTGCCAGAACACAAATCCTTAGAAATGGAGCAACAAATAACAACAACTTACGATATCTAGCGGAAGATGTTAAAAATTAAATGTGTAAAACGCAACAAAACACTTCTTGATGTAAGCATTATGGGAATGTCACATGATAAAGGAAAATGACTTTTTATGGACACAAACACAAAACTGAGTCTGAGTAATGTAGTTTAGTCATTTTACAACGGCATTCGTCAAAACTGNTGTAAGCATTATGGGAATGTCACATGATAAAGGAAAATGACTTTTTATGGACACAAACACAAAACTGAGTCTGAGTAATGTAGTTTAGTCATTTTACAACGGCATTCGTCAAAACTGGTATGTAATAAACATATTAAATGCTACAGCCTCGCTTTCATGCCAGCGTTCGAGTATTGCGTAATTTCTATGAGCCTCATGCCCCCCCGGAAAGCCAAATCACGTGGCACCCCTTCTAAATCCGTTTTTTATGTCAAAAGAAACATCTGTGCCTAATTTGGCGCTTTTACGCGATTTGTCACGATTTTCGACCTAACAGACCGGACTATATTTCACTTTGAGCAATTAAGCAGCTGAGGCAGTGTCCACACTACGCCAGAGGAACTTGAAAACGGCACTTTGTTTCTCCGGTTAGGCCTAACGTCCACAATAATCTGTCACGAAAACGGAGCTTTTCGTAAAACACTCTTCAAACCGGAGGAATTTGAAAACGCTGGCTTTTCATCTTCGTGTGGACGAAAAACGTTTTGAAAACGTAGCTTTTCAAAAACGATGACATCACGATAATCAAGTGACTTTCCTGCCCCAGTTCTCCTCAAACACATTTGATGCGTTTTCAGAGTGAAACCTCCGTTTTCAAATTCCTCCGGCGTAATGTACACGGGGCATGAGAAACGGTGGAATGTTTTACATTCAGATCATCGGCCTTAATAAACATAGGCGTTGGAATTTGCTTAGAAACAAATATCAATATTTATTTTGATTTGTACGTGTTAAAATGACGTAGGTCCACAGCTGTTACAAGTGTAGTCTGATTACAAAGTCTCGTAATAAGCTTTTACTATTTTACACTTCTTCTTCTTTTTACACTTCAGTCTCACGAAACACTTAAAATGATAATGCATCAGCTATGGAGCAGAAATGTATTCCCACAAACATACACTGAACTAGACTAGGAAAATAATAATGATATTAATCCTTCCATCATTTTAATTCTAAATGATCCTGGTAGCAATGCTAAAATGTAATGACAATAAGTGAAGTGATACTCTTCGAAGAACGGCTCCTGGTGAAGGACCTTTATGTAGTTAGTGTGCAACGTGACACTATTTTTGAAAGTCTAGCTCTTAGACAGTAATTAGACAGTAATTACGTAACGTGCAAACTGTTGCAACCACCTTGGCCTTCTGGAACTTCGTAAAGCTTTCAAAATCATTTTCATCGAACATTTACTCTCCAAATGTTTTATTTTGAACCATAAGAGAAAGCGAATTGGAGGTTCAATTTTGCAATCTTGTTGGTTGTCCAGTGTCTTAGGCAATGGTTGGGCGGGATTCACTATTTCTATAAACGTTCAAAAGGAAATAAAAATTGAAAACTGACAACGTGGAAAAATGTCAAAGTGCAATCTTATGAAAAATTACAAACGTTTCGGGCATAGCCCTTCTTCAGTGTCACTATTTCTAGCTGATTATATTAGTATTCAGTTGTTGATTTTTTTAAACTCGTTTGTCAAACATATTCGTTATTCTTGAGTAATGATCTTCTTTGAGTGTAAGGTAACGCACCATCTCAACAAATCGTTCGGGCGACTGAAAAGCAAGGAATGGTTGGGTGGACAATTCGGAAATAGTACAAGTTGAAACAAATTTCAACCTATAACCTATTTGTATTTATTTTTAAGGCTAAGATGCTAAGTACTGATATTAACACATTATACTACGATTGCAATTTATCGCTGGATCATGTCTGAACACAATTACTCGATCGTGTTTAATGATTCCTTAGCTCACAGGTGAGCAATGGGTATACTATAAGAGTTTGTGCGGGGTTTTAAACTAAAAGTAGTTTATATGGACTTTCAAATTCAGTCGAAAAATTTCTTTGTTTCTGTGGCGGCAGCAGGTTGTTTCAGCTGTTCCTGAGCTTAGGGACAAATGAATCGTAGATTAGTTTAATTGTGTTTACTTTTACTTGCTCCTTAAACGGTTATGTAAACGGACGTACATCAAGAAGTCAACTCTTTCCAACTAGATACCAAAAGAAAGTTAAGTTTTAGGGTGAGAAAGGCACTCATTTTAGGCCTTTAGGAAAGGGATTGAGAACAAAGAACTTTGAAGGTGTTGAAAATATCGAGGAAAACCAGGATTTAATAATATACCGAATATATGTTAGCATGCAGTTTTTCCGGAGAAGTGCGATTGTTTCATAGTCTAAAATAAATACTTCGTTATTCTTTCATCTTACGATAATTGCCTTGATAAAAGAAATCATTTCCTTAGAAATAGCGACAGCTGAAACTCACCCTGTAATTAAGAAAAGGTCACCACGAAGTTACAATATTAGATACTATGAAACAACCGAGCCAGAATTTCGCAATGATTGGGAAAGTTATGCGAAGCTCAATGCTTTCTTTGGCGTAAAACAAATGGGTCGCACGTCCTTATGACATCCCAATTTATCTCAAGTACTGTTTAAACAATTGTATATTCCTGGGTAGGAAAAGGCACTGTAGGAGGAAACGGTCTGACCCAAAACACAAGCCAAGTATTTCAGCCTGTGCATTCTTGCCAGATCTCTCGAGCCGATCTCCCGCTAACCACTGCGCTTTTTACAACTAACAAGAGGTCCCAGATTTGAGTTTTGATTAAGTTCCATACAAACCATTAAAACTAACATGTTGAGGCCCTGAGCCAGTAAAAGCAAGCTTTATTAACTATCTCAAGTTTATTTGTCCCTAGATAACCACAAAGATACCCTGAGTAACTGATTGATTATTAGGTCCCCTTGATTAAACCTTTATTGGACGCAAACCTTAGAATTAGGGTGCAGTTGGTTTATTCTTTCATTATATCTGTGTTTTTCAGAACCGCACCCAGGGTCCAACCCAACTTAAAACCGTTGAGTGAATTAGTCACCCTTATTTCCTTATATGGGCCAAGTCTATACCCTTCAGTTAACAACTCGTAGATAAAATTCCCTCCAAAGCAATGGTTTTTAGCATAAGGGTTTTTCTCCAGGTCGTCGTAATCTTTTCCACAAAACGACTTAGAGTACAAATCAACTTTCCTTCGTGTGACTTTGTTGTTTTCACAGTCAGAACAAACCGCGTCTATTCCTGTCAAAATGTAGTAAAATGAGGAAAACCCGTAAAATCTTCCTTTCAGTTTTGGTTGATCATAGAAAGGACATTTTAGCACATTTGGCGAGTGGCAGAAAAACACTTCGCGGATTATTTTTCTACAGTTTTTAACGTCAGCTGTCCCTTCAAATACCCTTTCCTGACCATCAAATTTAAGGGATTCCTTAAATCCTTTATTATGGCAAGGACTTTTCACGACACACTCGGAATTCTTAACACAATTCTCTTTTTGAGCAATGACTCCCAGATAACGTTCTCGAGCTTGATCCTGCCCAAAACCCAGATAACTACGAGCAAAAACTTTGTATTTTTTCCCTGAAAAGTCTACGACCACGACATCAGGGTGGCTGCTATTAAATTTCCAAGCATTTTGCTGGGACGCCCCTCCCAAATCTAAACTACCATAGGTAAGACCTTTCGAGCGGTATGCACCCACCAGAAAATTAATAGTAACCCAAGCATAAATCCCCTCGGTTTTGCCCGTAATAATTCTAGCGTCGTTATCATCCTGAAACATAAATGGACATTTGTCTTTGTCATTAAACAGTTTTCTAACTTCATTTAAGATAGCGTCTGCCTGGTCTTGAGGAACCAATCTCATTCCTGCTGTCGCAAACAAAAATATGGGTGTAGATGCCTGCTTGTCTTCTGGGATGGTCTTCTTGGCAGATTCCAGTAGGGGCGTCATGTATTCTTCAACTCGGGAAGGGTCATCAGCAAGGTCTGAAATTCCGGGTTCTGCCTTGTCAGGTGAGGAACTAAGCTCTCGGACGTCTGATGGCTGCAAGGAATGTCCGCTGGCCAAAAACTGGTAGATCCTCAAGCGAGTGCCACTCGATCCTGCATCAAACAGAATGGCGTACTCTGTGTGGACAGCATCACGACTTACTGGAAGGGATTGAGTGGCACAAGTGAAACAGACGAGGCACAAGACCACTTGCTCCAAAAATGTTTTCATTCTTCTTTCAAATCACCTGGCAAGAAAAATTAAATAACAGTGGTGGTCACTATAAATATTCCAGACAAACTTAGGTTGGTGTTTTTGAAATTGAGATGATATGCAGAATTTGCTTCTACAAAAACTTAACAAACGACCCCTTTCAGAAATTTGTCCTTGGAATTGAAAGCGTTTTTTCTTTCTTTTTAGGTACTATAGGGCGGCGATATTGACAAAGTCAGGCGTCAATCAAAACATGATTTCAATTTTTGTGTCGTGCTGCTTATGGCAAACGAAGTATTTGGAAGAGAGGTGCTGGTGAGCTTTTAACTCGAAAACCACTTGCGGAAGGCGCTGTTCTCTTTAGTGAATGAAATTTTCATGACTACTTTGACTGCTTTTACGCTTTTCACTGTGTAAGAAAAACTAGAGTTTAATCTCAGTCATTTGAAGCTTCCATTGCAATACTGAAAGTATTACATTCAGTATGTTTGAGAACGAGGTCTACCCAGTTCAAATAAGACTCAGATATGTTACTATTAGAGAAGATTACGTGAGATGTTAAACAAAGAAGCAACAAAAACAAGACCTTAGGATGCATTACTCACGCATTAGCCGAGTCTTCCGTCAAGCTCTGACTAAAGACTGAAACAACACAGCAACTACGTGTGATAAAACAAGTCATCTTATTAATTCGACTTAATTATTTGTCAACTTGTTTGTCCTATGAAGCAACAGATGAGGTCACGTTGTATCTTTGCTGAAATTGCGTGGGAATTGTGCCATGTGTGGGTGGACAACTAACGAATAAGGACAGCCTTGCTGTAGTTCACAAAATAGACGCCTTTACGTTGAAAGGAAAGATAGAAGAATTAAAAGAAGTCAGAGGGTTTGAAACTCAAGGCAACTTTGCATCTTGCTTTAAAGTAATAGAAATTGTTTTTCAATTAAGTCGATAAAAATATAAATTCAGGGTTTCCAGCTTAGACTGAGATACAAACGTCAAGGACGTTTATTTTGTTCAGTCTGATTATGATGTTAATACAGGTCCACAACTGCAATTGTTGTTTGGTTATGAACTTTTGAAATAAACTGTAAATAATTTTATCTTTTTCACAAAACACTACGATAATAAAGTTCCCAAAATGATCAATTATACTAGCACAAAAAAAAATCGTTTAATTCCCCTACCCTTATTGGAATTATTAAGAGATCATAACAGCAGTGTTTGTAAAAGCGACTCAGTAAACTGATTGCAGTGTGATGCTCAAATTTCCTTTTTATGTCAAACCACAGACCTCCCAAGCTCAAATTGTGGCATGATCATCAGTCTTAATAACGTTCAAAGCGAAAATAAAAGAGTTTGTATAGAGACATTTATGATTGGTCTAACAAAGTTGTCTGTTTGCTTACTTTACTTTTACTACAGGCTCTTTCAGTCAAATATTTCTTCCTGGGTGTCAGCTCCCATTCTCTCTGCGACCGCTGTTAATAGAGACGGTCTCATTCATATGTTTGGTCGTTTGTGTGTAGACACGTGGCGCATGAAACTATGACAACATGTTCAGTTTGATGGATCTCCGCTTTAAAAGCTTAAAAGCTTTTGGATAGTGAGTTACTCTTCGAATGTTTGACTTTGTATCATAACTAAACAGTTCGGACAGTTTGCATAATAACTCGAGTGATTGGTGGAGCGTAGTTCTTTATCTGTGACGATCTATGACATTTAACGTCGAACTTTAACAATTATGGTCTTACAACAACTTTTTACGGCTGATTGTAGAAAGAGGTACTAGCTGTGGTTAATGAAGTGAAAAAACATCTGGCAATTGATCGCTTAAGAGAAACAGCCGTCTACTTTGATTTTCTAACTTTAAAACAGAAAAAGCGGAGTAACAAAATAGAACTGAAATAATTAATACAATTTTCTTTCGTCATACTGACGTAGTTCCGTTGGTCTTCGATTAGGAAAAACTGAAATCGCCTGCTAGGAACAGATTAGAGTACCATGATACTAAGTAGAAAGCCATCAGTTTACTGCTATTTCTTTTTAATTGCAAAATACCGCACTCGAGACAAACACAGAAAATAATTTTCGTCCAATAATAAACAAAATAAACTTTCTATAGTGTCTTCTAGTGTGGTTTCTGAGATCAAACAATGCTGTAGAAAAAGGAGCCGTAGCGTTCTTCTTTATATTCCATGTTTCTATAGCTACCCATAGGAAAAATTGTGGCTTTTAGCGCGCGCTTTCTAGCAAGGCGCTTTCAAGTCATAGCCAAAGCTATGAAATTAATCCAATTTACGTAGCTTTTTCAATCATTTAAAACATTTAGCGGTAAAAGACTGATCGGAAACCGGGCTGCACTAAATTAAACCAGCAGTGAAAAGCACAAGCATTAGTCATGAAAATTTCATTTACCTGAACAAAATAGACTAAGAGAAGTCCCTCTTTCGCTTAGTCGTACGAGGGTGACGCGAAAGAAAACGACGAGAAAAAAAATGGCCGCGCGAACTCCTGGCCGGAGATAGTTTCGTCCTTCTAAAAGTAATTTTGAAAGGTTGTTGAATCTAAAGCTGAACGAAAGTCGTTGCATTTGAAACAGAGAAGCTACAAAAGCAATGTGGGTGTAAAGCATTACTTACTCAGAAGCTGAGGCCTTCACTCGGGTTCTATCTGAAGCCGAACAAGCTACACTGCAGTTACGTGTCAAGGAGCAAGTAACTTTATCAATGATACCTAAACCTTTATTAATTAAACGGGTCCAGGCTTCTTAGCGGCCAAGGTCTGTATCACAGTTACAGTTGGATCGTCTATCAATTTTTCAGCCACTTGATGTAGGTGATATAGACCAGTGGGAGTGCGTTTGAAAATTTCTCAATGGTTGACTTGAACCTTAAGGGAGGAGAGGGTGCTGTGGGAATTCATGAGGGAAGGGGTCAGTGCGATAAAACGTCAAAGAGCTTGAATGGTCAGAACACGAACTAACTCTACCTAAAACCTTCTCCAAATTTTCATTTATTTGTTCTGACTCTTAATTTTTCTACCAGTTTTTATTCAAAATCGTGGTACAAACTGAGCAGAAATTTTATTTCAAATCTGTTGCTATGATAATAACTTGGGATATACATATTATGTTTTGCAACATTTTGCCAATGTATTTGTTGACACAAATTATTTCTCGTGTGTATGTTTAATTTGAGGCGACCTCATTTTCCATAACAAGAAATGTGTACCGTTTTCACAGTATCACAGTATTTGCAATATTCGTAGTCACAGTATGTTTCGCTCAGTTTTTTCAGAATGACTCGGAAACCCAGGAAAGGAGACCCTAGAGAGCAATAATTCCGGGGGGTATAGGGAATGGCCCGGACCCCTCTTAAAGCTTGCGCTCGTTGCTTCGGAAATCGGTCACCAGTTCGATCTGCTCCGCATAAACTGCAGTTCATTTTAAAAGAAGCTGCTTGCATTCGCTGGGAAAATCCCAGGTAAAATAATGAAAGCTTTCCTTTTAAGGAATAAAGAAAACCTTCTTAACCTTCTTCAGTGTAGTGCACAATTATCTTGTTATCCTATGAATGGTTGCCTTCTCTTTTTTCCTTTAATTTTTCATTTTCTGGTGAAGTATATCCAGTATTTATTGGGTACAAGTAAAAGTTGTTAGTGGTTTATATGAATGCGTGTTAAAAACGAGAAAGTGATAAATAATTGAAGAGCAAACTGCAGCATGATCCCGTCACTTGCACAGAAGGAGAATCGATTTCACTTTGAGCAAGTAAGCAGCTGAGGCAGTGTCCACACTACGCCAGAGGAACTTGAAACCTCCGTTTTCAAATTCCTCCGGCGTAATGTACACGGGGCATGCATTCAGATCATCGGCCTTAATAAACATAGGCGTTGGAATTTGCTGAGAAACAAATATCAATATTTATTTTGATTTGTACGTGTTGAAATGACGTAGGTCCACAGCTGTTACAAGTGTAGTCTGATTACAAAGTCTCGTAATAAGCTTTTACTATTTTACACTTCTTCTTCTTTTTACACTTCAGTCTCACGAAACACTTAAAATGATAATGCATCAGCTATGGAGCAGAAATGTATTCCCACAAACATACACTGAACTAGACTAGGAAAATAATAATGATATTAATCCTTCCATCATTTTAATTCTAAATGATCCTGGTAGCAATGCTAAAATGTAATGACAATAAGTGAAGTGATACTCTTCGAAGAACGGCTCCTGGTGAAGGACCTTTATGTAGTTAGTGTGCAACGTGACACTATTTTTGAAAGTCTAGCTCTTAGACAGTAATTAGACAGTAATTACGTAACGTGCAAACTGTTGCAACCACCTTGGCCTTCTGGAACTTCGTAAAGCTTTCAAAATCATTTTCATCGAACATTTACTCTCCAAATGTTTTATTTTGAACCATAAGAGAAAGCGAATTGGAGGTTCAATTTTGCAATCTTGTTGGTTGTCCAGTGTCTTAGGCAATGGTTGGGCGGGATTCACTATTTCTATAAACGTTCAAAAGGAAATAAAAATTGAAAACTGACAACGTGGAAAAATGTCAAAGTGCAATCTTATGAAAAATTACAAACGTTTCGGGCATAGCCCTTCTTCAGTGTCACTATTTCTAGCTGATTATATTAGTATTCAGTTGTTGATTTTTTTAAACTCGTTTGTCAAACATATTCGTTATTCTTGAGTAATGATCTTCTTTGAGTGTAAGGTAACGCACCATCTCAACAAATCGTTCGGGCGACTGAAAAGCAAGGAATGGTTGGGTGGACAATTCGGAAATAGTACAAGTTGAAACAAATTTCAACCTATAACCTATTTGTATTTATTTTTAAGGCTAAGATGCTAAGTACTGATATTAACACATTATACTACGATTGCAATTTATCGCTGGATCATGTCTGAACACAATTACTCGATCGTGTTTAATGATTCCTTAGCTCACAGGTGAGCAATGGGTATACTATAAGAGTTTGTGCGGGGTTTTAAACTAAAAGTAGTTTATATGGACTTTCAAATTCAGTCGAAAAATTTCTTTGTTTCTGTGGCGGCAGCAGGTTGTTTCAGCTGTTCCTGAGCTTAGGGACAAATGAATCGTAGATTAGTTTAATTGTGTTTACTTTTACTTGCTCCTTAAACGGTTATGTAAACGGACGTACATCAAGAAGTCAACTCTTTCCAACTAGATACCAAAAGAAAGTTAAGTTTTAGGGTGAGAAAGGCACTCATTTTAGGCCTTTAGGAAAGGGATTGAGAACAAAGAACTTTGAAGGTGTTGAAAATATCGAGGAAAACCAGGATTTAATAATATACCGAATATATGTTAGCATGCAGTTTTTCCGGAGAAGTGCGATTGTTTCATAGTCTAAAATAAATACTTCGTTATTCTTTCATCTTACGATAATTGCCTTGATAAAAGAAATCATTTCCTTAGAAATAGCGACAGCTGAAACTCACCCTGTAATTAAGAAAAGGTCACCACGAAGTTACAATATTAGATACTATGAAACAACCGAGCCAGAATTTCGCAATGATTGGGAAAGTTATGCGAAGCTCAATGCTTTCTTTGGCGTAAAACAAATGGGTCGCACGTCCTTATGACATCCCAATTTATCTCAAGTACTGTTTAAACAATTGTATATTCCTGGGTAGGAAAAGGCACTGTAGGAGGAAACGGTCTGACCCAAAACACAAGCCAAGTATTTCAGCCTGTGCATTCTTGCCAGATCTCTCGAGCCGATCTCCCGCTAACCACTGCGCTTTTTACAACTAACAAGAGGTCCCAGATTTGAGTTTTGATTAAGTTCCATACAAACCATTAAAACTAACATGTTGAGGCCCTGAGCCAGTAAAAGCAAGCTTTATTAACTATCTCAAGTTTATTTGTCCCTAGATAACCACAAAGATACCCTGAGTAACTGATTGATTATTAGGTCCCCTTGATTAAACCTTTATTGGACGCAAACCTTAGAATTAGGGTGCAGTTGGTTTATTCTTTCATTATATCTGTGTTTTTCAGAACCGCACCCAGGGTCCAACCCAACTTAAAACCGTTGAGTGAATTAGTCACCCTTATTTCCTTATATGGGCCAAGTCTATACCCTTCAGTTAACAACTCGTAGATAAAATTCCCTCCAAAGCAATGGTTTTTAGCATAAGGGTTTTTCTCCAGGTCGTCGTAATCTTTTCCACAAAACGACTTAGAGTACAAATCAACTTTCCTTCGTGTGACTTTGTTGTTTTCACAGTCAGAACAAACCGCGTCTATTCCTGTCAAAATGTAGTAAAATGAGGAAAACCCGTAAAATCTTCCTTTCAGTTTTGGTTGATCATAGAAAGGACATTTTAGCACATTTGGCGAGTGGCAGAAAAACACTTCGCGGATTATTTTTCTACAGTTTTTAACGTCAGCTGTCCCTTCAAATACCCTTTCCTGACCATCAAATTTAAGGGATTCCTTAAATCCTTTATTATGGCAAGGACTTTTCACGACACACTCGGAATTCTTAACACAATTCTCTTTTTGAGCAATGACTCCCAGATAACGTTCTCGAGCTTGATCCTGCCCAAAACCCAGATAACTACGAGCAAAAACTTTGTATTTTTTCCCTGAAAAGTCTACGACCACGACATCAGGGTGGCTGCTATTAAATTTCCAAGCATTTTGCTGGGACGCCCCTCCCAAATCTAAACTACCATAGGTAAGACCTTTCGAGCGGTATGCACCCACCAGAAAATTAATAGTAACCCAAGCATAAATCCCCTCGGTTTTGCCCGTAATAATTCTAGCGTCGTTATCATCCTGAAACATAAATGGACATTTGTCTTTGTCATTAAACAGTTTTCTAACTTCATTTAAGATAGCGTCTGCCTGGTCTTGAGGAACCAATCTCATTCCTGCTGTCGCAAACAAAAATATTGATACTAAGTAGAAAGCCATCAGTTTACTGCTATTTCTTTTTAATTGCAAAATACCGCACTCGAGACAAACACAGAAAATAATTTTCGTCCAATAATAAACAAAATAAACTTTCTATAGTGTCTTCTAGTGTGGTTTCTGAGATCAAACAATGCTGTAGAAAAAGGAGCCGTAACGTTCTTCTTTATATTCCATGTTTCTATAGCTACCCATAGGAAAAATTGTGGCTTTTAGCGCGCGCTTTCTAGCAAGGCGCTTTCAAGTCATAGCCAAAGCTATGAAATTAATCCAATTTACGTAGCTTTTTCAATCATTTAAAACATTTAGCGGTAAAAGACTGATCGGAAACCGGGCTGCACTAAATTAAACCAGCAGTGAAAAGCACAAGCATTAGTCATGAAAATTTCATTTACCTGAACAAAATAGACTAAGAGAAGTCCCTCTTTCGCTTAGTCGTACGAGGGTGACGCGAAAGAAAACGACGAGAAAAAAAATGGCCGCGCGAACTCCTGGCCGGAGATAGTTTCGTCCTTCTAAAAGTAATTTTGAAAGGTTGTTGAATCTAAAGCTGAACGAAAGTCGTTGCATTTGAAACAGAGAAGCTACAAAAGCAATGTGGGTGTAAAGCATTACTTACTCAGAAGCTGAGGCCTTCACTCGGGTTCTATCTGAAGCCGAACAAGCTACACTGCAGTTACGTGTCAAGGAGCAAGTAACTTTATCAATGATACCTAAACCTTTATTAATTAAACGGGTCCAGGCTTCTTAGCGGCCAAGGTCTGTATCACAGTTACAGTTGGATCGTCTATCAATTTTTCAGCCACTTGATGTAGGTGATATAGACCAGTGGGAGTGCGTTTGAAAATTTCTCAATGGTTGACTTGAACCTTGAGGGAGGAGAGGGTGCTGTGGGAATTCATGAGGGAAGGGGTCAGTGCGATAAAACGTCAAAGAGCTTGAATGGTCAGAACACGAACTAACTCTACCTAAAACCTTCTCCAAATTTTCATTTATTTGTTCTGACTCTTAATTTTTCTACCAGTTTTTATTCAAAATCGTGGTACAAACTGAGCAGAAATTTTATTTCAAATCTGTTGCTATGATAATAACTTGGGATATACATATTATGTTTTGCAACATTTTGCCAATGTATTTGTTGACACAAATTATTTCTCGTGTGTATGTTTAATTTGAGGCGACCTCATTTTCCATAACAAGAAGTGTGTACCGTTTTCACAGTATCACAGTATTTGCAATATTCGTAGTCACAGTATGTTTCCGAGTCCAAGGTCAAACTATTAAAATGAGATCATACATCGATTGACTGCTGAATGGTCAGTTGTGGTCAGTCGAATACTGGGAGCGTTGATCGATTACTGAGCAGCAAAGCTGGGACTTTGGAGAAGGGGCAATTGTAGTAGAAATGGAAAAGTATTAATATAAATCTCCTTATGTCAGACTAAAAAGCAGATAAATTGATTGTTTCAGGGTTAAATTTTATGTCTTGATCCTGCGAACGAAGAAGGGAAGATATGGCATTTTAGACTGAAGTTGTCGGACTCTTGGTAACGTAGTGAATGGATCTAGAGATCCCGAGATGTTACCTTAGAAATAGTCGTAACGCTGGGTTTTGATTATTGAAACTTTGTGCCAGTACTGACTGTTAGAACGTCAAATTTCAATACAACACTTACCGAGATCTACTCAGTGTAAAGTCTCAAATAGGATAAGTGAAGTAATTAGATATGTTATTTTTCAGCGAGAACTGAGCGAGATGTTAGTCAAAAAAGCCACAAAACACGAAGTGACGATGTAGACCATTACTTATTAAAAACGGAAGCCTTCAGTCAAGCTCTGTCTGAAGACTGAAACAACACAGGAGCCACGTGCAATATAACAAGTCATCTTCATAATTCGACGTGTCAACTTGTTTGTCCTATGAAACAACAGACGAGGTCACGTTGTATCTTTGCTGACATTGTGTGGGAATTGTGCCATGTGATGGTGGACGACTAACAAATAAGGACAGCATTGCTCTTGTTCACAAAATAGACGCCTTTACGTTGAAAGGAAGGAAGAAGTGAGAATTAAAGGGAGCCAGAGGATCTGAAACTTAAGCCACCTTTGCATCTTGCTTAAATTAATAGAAATTGGTTATCAATTTAGTCCTATGAAACAACAGATGAGGTCATGTTCTATGTTTGCTGGCATTTCGTGTGAATTGTGTCGTGTGATGGTTTACTGTAATGAAAACCACAAAAGAATAAAGAGAACATTGCTATAGTTCACGCAAGGAACGCCTTTGCCTTGTTTTAAATCAATAGATATTCTCTTTTAATTGATTCGATTAACGTATGAGATCACATAAATTGAACATTGATGTAGCTGAAGTGGGCGTACACTGAGATACAAACATCAAGGACATTAAGGTGGCTGAACACAGTTTTTGATACCTGTGTTTCATTCACCTTTTTCTCAAAAACCCTTGATCCTTCGGTCGCCAAAAATAGCGGCAAGCAAGTTAACAACACAAACTTTGGTTTTTTTGATGGTTAAGCTGACGTATGTGCCGTTGCCATGGCAACATAAATAAATATAAACAGGCCTTTAAAATCAGTTTTGCTTATTTGTAGAGAATCTAGTCATTAGATTTTCTTTATAATTTGCACGCAACAAGCTTGTAACTATTCTCACAAGTTATTATATGGCTGTGTCTCACAAGGACTGGGAACTACCAAATTCACGAATTTGATTAGCTGAAATCGATATTGACCGCGGTCTAGATTCTCCCATCTAGACTGGCATCTAGACCGGTTTCATTTTGCGTTGAAAAAGTAGCAAACTAAAATACAAAGATGTTCACCATTTTCTTTTATTTTCTTCTCAATCATTTATGGCACTGCCAAAAAGCCTGATGACAAAACAAACAAGTAAAGAGAACGAGCAAATTTCG